CCAAAAATACTACTCCTTAATTTCTTCTCTCTCTCTCTACTCTAAAATTAAATGTAAATTTACTGATAATTAGGAGCACCACAGTCCGAATGTTTAGGGTATCCACTAAATTCAATGGAGAATGCGTGTACCTCCTTCAAACCAAACAAACATCCCAAACCAACGCCCTTCTCTCTCCCTCTCTAACCAATCCTTTCTCTCTCTAGACTTCTCACACCAATCCTCTCTCTCTCTAGACTTCTCAGACCAACCCTCTCTCTCTCTAGACTTCTCAAACCAAACCTCTCTCTCACCAATCCTTTCTCTCTCTAGACTTCTCAGACCAACCCTCTCTCTCTAGACTTCTCACATCAACCCCTCTCTCTCTCACCAATCCTTTCTCTCTCTAGACTTCTCAGACCAACCCTCTCTCTCTAGACTTCTCACATCAACCCCTCTCTCTCTTCTCTCGTGTCAAAAAAGGGTCCAGGATTCTCTTAACGACGCTAAGGCATCGATTCTTCCCTCTTACAATAAACGAAAATTTCCTTTTAGACCTTTCCCTCTCTCACTCTCTTCTAGGTTGAAATTTAGTCCTCTCGCAAAAAGAGAAAAGAGTTTGGACTTGATGTCCCACTCTCTAAATTGCTCTCAATATCACTTTTTCTCTCCGCCTAAGATCAGGAAAAATCTTACCGAAACGGTTATAACCGGAATCACCCGGTTCAACAGCTTAACTTAAAATAAAGTGTACAAAAATTAATAAAACTTATAAAATATAAAAATATATTTAAAGCATTATTATATAAAGCATATCCAAATGAAATTGAAAATTAATAAAAAAAATTGATTTCAAATACTCAGTTTGCCTAATGGTATTTTTGAAATTTTCCAAAAGAGATGGAAAAATATAAAAATAAATATTAATAGGCAAAACAATTTCTAATTTTTGTCAAAATGATGAAAGATAATAAAAAATGCATTACAAATAAAATCCCTTATTTTTTGAGATTTTATATAATTTTTTAATTATTTATAAAATACCCTATTGGTCCACCAAAATCGAAACCGGACAGTGGCTGGTTCCGATCTACATAAGTGGACGGTTAGAATTTGAACTACCTGATTTTTTATTTTTCCTACACTGCTCTAGCCCTAAGGCAATGCTTTCTTCCTCTTATAATAGTAAAGGTTTTAAAATCCGGCAATCCGATAAGGACTCTAGTGAACTAATAAAAATCGCTAATTTAGATAGGATTTGGTTGGTGATCGATAAGGGTCCTTCCCTGAAATCTTCCAATTTATTTTGTATTATTATTTTTACCCAATTTTCTAATAATTGGCCATTTGTATTATTTTTTGCTTAATTTTCTATTGGTCTTTCAATCAGTCGAGTCTGCTCGGACTTGGCCAAGTTACTCGAGCGCAACCAATGGCCAAGCCCAACTTGGGGGGTCCAACTCAAAGATATTAAAAAAATTCAAATAATATATATATATATATTTGTACTTTTTTTTGTGTTCTCTATCATTTTGGCAACGATTGGAAAGTAGTTTGGCCATGAATATTTATTTTTATATTTTTTCCATCTTTTTTGAAAAAAAGTAAAAATACACAATCACAAACAATTTTTCAAGTTCTATTTTTTTGCTATTTTTAACTGCACATAGATATTTTTAAATATGGGATAGATAAGTTCTGATTAATTTTATTTTAAATATATATATATATACATTATTTTATTTTTTAATATTTTTTACTGCTACGGCACCGCAACTGGGCTCGAGCAGTGGTTTCGAAAAGACAGTGGCTCATCCTCTTCCCGCACTTTCCCCTCTCTCTCCAAGTTCCAAACTTCTCTTCCCTCCTTTCCCCTCTCTGTCTCGCACGCACGCACGCACGCACGCACGCACACGTACGCGTAGAAGTCCTACTTAAATACAGGAAGGCTCATTGAAATCCACGCGCAAGTTTATAAGGAAAATGACCGAAATAACTGATGTTCACACCACCCTCATACGACCCACACCTCCCATTTAATCCACTAAATTAATTAACAAATGACGAACCGGGAAAGGTTGGAGAACCGAGGGACTACCACCAGCACATAGCTCTTCAAAATCCTCAAACTACAACATATTTTCTCTCTCCCTTTCTCTCACTTCCCAAATCCGGGATTCTTTGTCTCTTCCCTGTTTTCTCCATCAATGTTCCAATGTCTGTCTCTATATCAGAGACCGACCGGATAGTACTCTTCTTCTAGGGGTCAATTTTATACTATTGAAGTAAGACAGACTTCAAAATATGGATACGGTTTCTACGAGGCCAGCCCATATATTGTAGAAATGCGGGCTTGATAATAAATAAATTATTTTTAGAGGATATATAATCGATTATGAATATAAAAAAAATTAAAAATTTGAAAACTAAAAATAATAATTATATTAAGAAAATGTTTGGACTATTAGTTGATGGACCACCTATTTGTGTCTACATTTAAGATGCTTTATATCGGACCTCATATTGTAGAAATGCGGTCTCGCCCACATGAAACAATTTTCCTCAAAATAATGCTAAAAAATGCAGCTTTGGTATGGGAAAGTCATAAAACGGCGACATAAAAATCTATTGTCACCTCTAATTATGGAATTTAAAGATCATAAAAAGATACAAATTGAGCATATCTATAATAGGTAAAGTTTTTTTTTTTGGTAATTCAATAGGGAATACAGTCCCCTACTTATTTTTTAAATAGTTAGTGGTTTTTTAAGGTGTCAATGGAATGAAAGCCACAACGTACGACTGAGATATAGGGGGTGCTACCATCATGACCATAACCCCTTTCCCGACAAACACACACATAATCTGGGTTGGGTTGATCTACCCTATCCTGACTAGACTTTACCTAATTAGGTCCAAGTTGGATATTGCCATATTATACTTATGTACCATGACCCGACCCAACAGATCTAGTTCCAACCAAAATTAGACCTAGATTAAGAGGCCCTCCTACCCAGTAGTTCTCCCTAAATTAATCTCTCAAAATTCACTACGACATAGTTGCTTTCTAAATCACCCCATATTGTATGCAATAAGACCATTTATCTTTGATGCAAGTTGGTCACAATTATTTACAACCATCTGATGTGAAGTTTGATAGCTTGGATGTGTCACAAAGTTCGAAAAAAATTCTTTTGAAATTTGAACTTGGTCAATGGAATAATTACAGCCACCCAATTTCACATTCAATAGTCAAGATTAATGTCTAACCTTGTGCCATGGTAAATGATCTCATTCTATACTTTTCTTAATAAAATAATAATAAGAAAAAAATTATGCACACCCGAATCTAAAGAGAGAAAATAAGATGATAATTGTACTCTCATCCACAAGGCCTACTCTCCAAAAATGGGCTGAAATATAGGGGTGGCAATGGACCCTGACCAGACCGAGACCCAACGATTGGACCTAACCTAGGTTTGAATTTGGGTCCAAAAATTGGACCCGATGAGTTGGGTCCGAGATCTGGGTCGCGACCCGAATAATGTTATTATTAGTTAAATAATATTCAATATATATATTTTCCATAATATTTAATTACTATTTAAATAAATATAATTATCTATTATTAGTTATATATACAACAGAGAGATATGTACATCAACTAGGTGATAGATGTGTACAATGGAGATATAGCTAGTGTAAGAACAA